CTTTCTAACCCGGCCCCGTGGTCCGGAACAACTCCGGCGGCTCCGCCCAAACCATCGGGATTGTGTAATCTCTACCGTCATGGATCAGCACGCCTACCGTGCGTTCCTACTCACATTTCCAAAAACAATACTATCTCCCATGCTCAACTGTTATCGTGTCAACCACACCGCATGATGGCCCAACATCTCGTCTACGCTCTAACCCCTCTTGCCTAGCCCACGACCATTGTTGTCAGATCACGCGGGACAGCACGCGGGACAGCCTGGCTTCTTGGTTCCCAACACCGGCCCCAGTCTAAAAGCAGACCTCTATTCACACGCCCGTATTTCCCCGTGGAGTTCCAATGGCCCACAATGGGAGCGCCAGATCAAAATCCTGTGAGCTACAGTTCCCGATGGTCCTCGCGCCCGGCTGATGCAGATTCGTCAGCCTTTCACTTTGCAGCGGGCCTGGGGTCCGGCGTTTGCTCGGCGGTGCTCCTCCAACCCTTGGACCTGCTGAAGACCCGTGTTCAGCAGTCGGGTCATCGGTCACTGTCCTCCTCCTTGAGTGAGGTAGCAGCATCTCCAGACAAGCTACGAACACTTTGGCGAGGCACAGTTCCTTCTGCTTTGCGGACAGGCTTCGGCTCTGCTCTCTACTTCACCTCTCTCAATGCTATCCGCGAACATGTTTCCAAGTCAAATCTTCTAGGACATGCTGCCCCACGCACATCCCATTCATCATCCCTCCCTCGACTTTCAAATTCCGCCAACCTTGTTGCCGGGGCCGTCGCTAGGACCTTTGCCGGCTTCGCACTCATGCCGTTGACTGTCATCAAGGTTCGATACGAGTCGAGCATGTATTCTTACCAATCCATCTTAGGCGCCTCGAAAGACATATACATCGCGAACGGTCTTCGTGGCTTCTTCTCGGGCTTCGGCGCTACGGCTGTCCGCGATGCGCCCTACGCAGGGATGTACGTTCTCTTCTACGAACTGCTTAAAAAGCGCATGAGCAGTCTAGTCGTCCCACAGCAAGCGGTTGTCGGTCACGATGGAAATGCATCGCTTAAGATGTCGCAAGCAGGCACCATTAATTTTACTTCTGCCATTCTCGCCGGAGCGGCGTGCTCGGCCGTCTCGAATCCTTTCGACGCAATCAAAACGCGAATCCAGTTGCAGCCACAGGCGTATCCTAACATGTATCGAGCATGTCGCAAGATGCTTGCGGAGGAAGGCGTAAGATCTCTATTCGATGGCCTTACCCTGCGAATGAGCAGGAAGGCGCTGAGTTCTGCTCTAGCCTGGACAGTGTATGAAGAACTGATGCGGAGGGCAGAGCGCGTGTGGAACCCAAAAATGGAGCGGGTCGAGGTATAGATTGTACTTGTATCGTTGCTCTCCTCTCAGGTCTTCTCCCAGGTTTGTACTTCAATATCGGAGGCAGCATGGTCTTGAAATAACACGAGTTTGTCTGGTTGCACTCTTCCATTGACGTACAGCGCAAGCAGCATCATCTTGGCTGCTTCATTTCAGGCCGGTCGAGCACCGGCCAGGTACATCAGGAGCGCAGGCGACTTGCTACGCTTACGGTCTCCCCCCTTCTTCCTCACCCACTCAAACTTTGGGTCATCGCGATCTCGCCTCTTGTCCCCATCTCCGACATCCAACAAGAGCCGACCTGACCTCTTCTCGCGGACATCTCTGGTATGCTTCCAAAGGGTGTCCTGTTCCCATTCTGGTACCCAACGTCTGATGAGGACGTAATCGGGATCCTAGAACACACGATCAGCATGGACAACATTGCTAGAAACCGTTGCTTCCGTAGGTCACCACATACCTGATCCACTTCATACTCGATACGGTAAGTCCGTAATGTTTCGATGGACAGGTGCCTACGGGCCATGCGTGTGTAGGTTGGGCGTGCTACCGCATTGCCGACCGGCACAAAGGGTACCTGAGGGAGTGCTGCTGGCGCTTTGACCTTCTCTGGAACCTTCTCCTTCTTTAGGATGGCAGCAATATGCTTCTCGTCGACACCTGAATTGATGAGGTCCTCTTGGAGACGTCGCTTGTATTCCTTTTCGCGCGCGTCCTTCTCCTTCTGCTCTTGCGCGATTCGTTCCAGCTCCTTCTGCTTGTACTTTGCAACAGCCTCCTTGGCCTGTTTTTCGAGCTTCTCCTTTTCCTCGGCTTCCCGCTCTTCCTCACGCAAACGTTGCAGCTCGAATTCTTTTTTTATGCGTGCTTCTTCCTTGGCCTGCTGTTCCCGCGCACGAATGGCGTCAAGTTCGCGCTTGGCACGCTGCAGCTCAGCCTCCTCGCGGAATTCTTTCTGAGCTCGTCGCTCCTCCTTATCACGAGCTTGGTGAAGCCGCATCTCTTCCAGCTCTCGTCGTGTCTGCTCCATTTCAAACTCCTCTCGGGTCATGTACCCAGACCCGGATCGCGAACGGGAGCGGGAGTGGTCCCGATGGCGGGCTGGCATGACTTGGAGTCCGCGCCGCTCATCCTCGGAATCCGAGTGCTCATTGTAAATGCGGTGTG